GAATGATAGATAGGCTTTTGCATGGCTTTCGAACTTGCTACACTGCTACACGCGATGGACTGTTGCTGCTGCCTTTTCTTCAGGTCTGGAGCGCACTGACGGTTAGTTTGATCTTGGTTTACACCTTTTGGACCCTTTAGTTTGACTTGCCAGGGTTGAGATGTTCGCTGCGTGGCCAGAGTCCAACGCTTCCACCAGTGAATCCGTGCAAGGTCCCTCCATCACACAATGGCAGGGCATGGCCTTTACTATCCTTTACTAGAGCATAGAGTTGGTTGTTGCCTCGTGCGCATAGCGCCTGCAAAGCGTGTCCCTATAAACGCGTTCGAACCGACATACCGATACACCGACGCACACACACACAGAACCGCACCGATACACCAATACACCAAGGGTTTAGGGTTAGGTTTAGGTTTAGGGTATCGACTGGGAGTGGCGTAGTAGAACACAATGCATCCACCACCAAACAGCATAGTGGCGTAATGGCGTAATGACACTTAAGGACACAGTTTGCAAGAACGCTCGCACTGTGAGCAGGGAGAGTGCGGATGGATACTGATTACGATTACGAGTCAAATACTTTGATCAGCTGTGGTGGAACCGTAGGATCTGACGAGACATTGAAAATACAGCTCAACTAGGCCTTTCAGGGAGCCAACGCGTGCTGTGCTGGATTTTCAAAGCCCGGCAGAATCTAGACTGTGAAGATGGTGTGCTTGGTGAGGAGGAAGAGCAGAGCATCAGCGCCCACAGTGGCGATGCAGGATTCTCAGAAGTGCCGGCGTGGACTCTTTGACTGCCTGTGACCTGGTTCGTTTTCACATCTCCACGATGCCAATGTCATTCATTTGTGGATCCTGTGGGACTCTTCTACTCTTGACCCGCTGGGTCAACTGCAGTTCCGTTTTTTTGATGTCACGGTGTCTTAGACATCCGAAAGCGTCGAAACTCTGCGGGTCAAACCACAAAGTCCCCTTTGTCAAATCGGGCCTGGGCCCAGTTCCACTCGCATCTTTTTCGACAGAACACTTAGCGACATTGGCACATGAGGTCACCTCGCTGAAGCAGCTACTCGTTAAAATGTATTTTTGCTAGGGGAACGAATCTGCATGAAAGAACAATAGATCTGGATACGATCGTGGTAATGAACCCGCTTGTGCTTTTATGTCAACTGCTACAAACTTTGGCCGATCATGTTCGGCATTTTGTTCAGTGCAGGCATGCCGTACGTTTTTTATTGTGACCATTTTGGCTCGAATCGCTTTGGCTTGGTGGTGAGGTTGCTTCAGGTTCATTCATTTATATAAGGGATCATGTTACTGTAATTCATAGGCATGTGTCACTTTTGTCTCGGAGCGAGTTGCTGAGCTTGACGAGGAGGAGCTACGTTCAATAATGAATGATAGACAAACCTGTGAGAGCAAAGAAGCATCTTCTGGCAGCTGAAACTGCTTCCGGTGGAGCAGAGTAAAGGTTTTGAGGACAATGTGACGGCCCTGCAGCCAAGACTGGAGCAAAGAGTCTTTTGACAGGAGGAACGCATGAGTGCAGCTGATGAGAATGCAGGACAAAACAGGTGCAACAACTTTGCACTTTGCAGCTGAACATGGGCACCTAGAAGCCAGCCTCAGGGCACAACAGGCAGAACCAGGTTCGAAGGAACCTAGAAGGTGAAGATGCTAATCTGAGTGCACAGCAGACGGAACAAGGAACGCTGGAACCTTCAGACGGACAGAAGAACACCCTCTTACCTTCAGGCCTTGTTTTCGCGCAAGAAGACTGCAAAGCTCGGCAGAACAACCACCAGACCTTTTGATCTTCAGATCTGGGCTTTTGGGCAAGAAGACAGACAGTTCTCCGTTCAACCGGGCTCTGGAAGTGGCGCACTTGCTGCTGGAGAGTGGAGATGGAGCAGGCGCAACAACTTTGCACTTTGCAGGTCAATGGGGCCACTTGGAAATAGTGCAATGGTTGCTGATAAAGTGGCGCTGGAAAGGATGCTGCTGCAGCTGAAGAATGATCACTTGGAAGGGGTATGAATGCTGCTACACAGTGGCGCTCAGAAAGATGCTGTCTTGTCGCACAGCGTCCAGTTTGTGGCTGAATTTGGCCACTTAGAAGTTGTCCAACTGTTGGATAGGCACTTACCAATATTCCACGGCACGCCTGGAGGACAAAAATGACTGCACACTTCTTTGCTTACCCCCTGGCCTTGGCTAATGCTTTTCAGGTTTGCAAGATGCAGTTCAGTTGATGAAATGTTGCTCAATGTTCAGGTTGCTTGAATTCAGAACTAGAACTAGCAAGATTTGCAACCAAAATTGAGGCTTGGTTCCGGATCCTAAACCAGAATGATGAGCCCAGCATTCTAGCTGGAAGCTCGGTGTGTTAGAAGCAGCTTATTCCACAGGGGGTGCCGCAGAGCTCCCACGATTTATTGAGGACTTTCGCTTGGATGCTGCCCACGGTTGTGATATCAAGGTGTTCCCAGAGGCTGGAGACCTCAGAACCCCAAGACCCTGCTTCATAGAAAAGAGATGAAAAGCGAGTTGAAGGATGGTGATGTTCTTGGCTCGGCAACTTTCATAGGCCATGGCACTCTTGGAAGCATCTCCATGTGCTTTGGAATTGCTGCTGTCCACACCTCAAAGGAGAGCGGCCTTGTAATTCGTTCTTATTTTTTTGCTCATTGCTCAGACAGGAGACATGTTGAGTTTCCCCTAAATCTAGGAACCATTTTTTTTTGTGCGTCCAAGCAAGTAGCAGCTTGACTTGAGCTGCTACTACTTACCCCTCTTGCTACGAGCTACTTACCCTCACGGCTGACAACACCTTTTAAAGTATAGAAATTATACAATGAGAAGTATTATATAACATCTTGGCCCATCTTGGCGGTTTCTGAGGCTTGCAGCCTTTGATGAGCCAAAACAAATCAAGCCTCGTCGACGATCTCGGCCCTCCACTGCAGCATACATAACGTTGGGGCTTAGCTGGACAGCAGAGGTAAATGTTCTTCACTATACTGGACACCAATCCAAACCATAGGGTTGGTCTTGATTGCAAAGGAGCATGAGGTTGAACTTTCATTCTCATGACATTATCTGGCTTTCTGTGACCTAGATGCTTTGGGACAGGTCAGCTCAGAGTCGGACACCCGCTTGCGATAGCTCCCGACGCGTTCGACATGCAGTTGGATCCTTGGAACCGATCAATTCGCCTCTTGTCAATTTGCTACTAATAGCTTCTTGTTCCTAGTAGCTTTATTGTTACTACTAGCAAGGCACTTGTTACTAGAAGCGATGCACTTGTTTCTAATAGCTTCTTGTTCCTAGTAGCTTTATTGTTACTACTAGTAAGGCACTTGTTACTAGAAGCGATGCACTTGTTCCTACTAGCTTCTTGTCAGTGTATGTAAGTGTCAGTGTCTAGGTGACGCAGCTTGCGCAAGGGTCCCAGATATTTGTTGCGCTAAGCTTTGCCCAAGTGACTGCTCCCCAAGGCCTCAACTTGTGGCCGTGTTGCGCCGAGTTGTGGACGTGAAGTCCCTGGAGCTACGCCAGAGCCTTTGTATGGTGTGCATTCTCAGATCTCCATGCCTGACCTATGCTCCCTAAAGAGGTCATGGAAAGTGGCCCCTTGGATGACCATTCTCCTCTACAAACAAGTGGTTTTCCACTTCCATGACTATTTCAGGTTCCTAGTTAGTACTTTGATTGCTTACCTCCACATCTTGAATAATCCTCCGGTTTGCGCCTTTGCTTGTGACCGCTTTCTGGCGGTCATTTTCAATTTTTGTCGTCAAATGCGAAGGGAACGAGGGTTGAAGAAATCCTCAAAGATACATGAAAAGATGAGCAAAGCCCTGCATCCCCACAAGGAACCATCAAGGACGGAACACCAACATTAGGGCATGGGACTGGGAGAACAGTTTTTGTTATTGTTGCTTCTTTCAAGCTAAAAAATACACCTGTTCGCAATATACTATATAGATCTATACAGGCTAAATGGCATAATCTTTGCAGCAAGAACAGCAAATGTGATCATTGCCCTGGCGCATCCCTTAACATGACCCTGGTTCAATACGCCGTCACCTCTTGTCCATCCCACATCCATTTTGCGCACTTCACCACCAAGAAAAGCCTGTTTGACGGACGCACGTCACACGTAGCAAGTTCTTTGTCCAGCTTGGGAGTGACCCTTGTGCGATTTGCAAATGTAACCTTCAACTTGTCAATCCACAGATTGGCAAAGGAATGAAACCAAAGAGGCTGACACACCAGCCCAGACTAGAATGGAATTCTGGAGAGCCCACCTTGTGGGTCCAAAAAGTTGCCATGCTAGAAGACTGGATGAAGTGACAAGCGATGAACGCCACGCATGTAGAAACTGATTTGAAGTGATTACACTCAGGCGTCGAGGCACTGCAAGACGTGGATGGTTCCGTGAATGTCCTGAGGGTGGATGCCAAGGTCGGCCCAAGGTCTGAAGTTGGAGGTCAGAATGCATGCTCCTTGTAACAAGCACACGTGATTGAAAGACCTTAAGACCTAAAGACCAAGCAAGGCCTTTTGAATCTTTTGAAGGACTTTTTTGGTTGCTAGTGCTCATCGCACGGGGTTCTTTGACATGAGGTCCAAAACCCAACCAAGTGGAGCCCCAGCAAGCAGATCCACCAGATGTTTTCCACTCGATTGCAACAAAACGAAAACAGTAGATCATGCAGATCCACCTGCAAGTATTTGATGATATCGATGCGTTCTTTTTGGCAAGGTTCCTTTGGATTTCAAATCGCTCAGCAAGCATTATCATCGCCTGAGACTTAGAGATCACAAAAAATCCTGAAAGCCAACTGTCCTCCCAAACCCTTTCTTTGCCCTCCAACCTACTAGCGATGGCCTAGTTTATCTCCCACTTAGGCATGCATCAGAGTCGGTTATAGTACGGCAAAGGATATCTCTTGACACGCAAGCTACCGCAGCCATTGTGCTACCTGGACAGCATGACAGGACAGAGTGTGTGTTACCATGATGGCACACAACAGCACTGACTAGCGAGTTGCGATGAAAAGGCACCAGAGAATGCGGTACAGGAACCTCAGACACTTACCTTGCATACCACAAGGCCTTTGCAAGTGTATGTTTGTTGTAGTCAGATTGATTTGGATCTAGCATTCATTTAGTGTAGTGCGTCGTCAGCTTCATTTATGGCGACAGATGTGCATGTGACCAGAAGATACAATGACTAAGTTATTTGAGACGCAACACAATTGCAGATGCCACTTGGCTCCACTGTCACAAAGGATTTGCTGTTGATGAGATAGTGTGACACTTGCATCCTGCCTCCACATTGCATAGAGGCCAAAGTCATACTACGAATTGCTGGATATAAGCCGGGATGCAACTGCCGCTGAAATCCATCGAGCATACAAAAAGAAGGCTTTACAGCACCATCCCGACAAGAATCCAGGCAGGTGGTTGCCACCGTGGATACTGTACTCCAAAGAATTGACGTGTGATAAGATGCACTACGATATGGAATCTCAAATCTTGCCAACATAGTATTCTACTGAAGATTGACATGAACGAGAAACATGGCTCCCATCTGGATCATTTGAGAAGATTAGCAATGTGCTTTCAACCGAGACTTTTGTCAAAATGGATGACAGGCCAGGTTGCGGAAGCAACTGAACTCTTCAAAGCCATAGGAGAAGCATATCTTTGTCTTCGTGACCCTGCCAAGCGAGCTGCCTATGATTACGACTTGGACAACAAGTCCACTTGGAGCACCTTGACAATTCGTGACATATGAATGGTTTCAGATTGAATATCATTTAGCAGTCCTCATTGCAATCCTGCTCCCTTCTGGCTGGTTTTTCAAGGTACATCGTGGTCCAGTCCACAAGAGTCTGACGATGGATTTACCTTTACCATGGCCAAGGAGTTGTTTGAGTGAAGTTTCCCAAAAATCTAGGAACCAAATGAATAGTGCGAGCGTGAGCTATCCTGCGTCCAGTAGCTAGTAGCTGCTTAAGCAGCTAGTGAACCAGTCGCCTTGTTTGACTCATCAGCTGACAACCTCAAACGGGTAGGACCTGTTCCGTGAGACGTTTGGAGACGAGTTCACCAATCGATTGGAGAGAGTTGCTTCGGAGACGTCTGCAGCCGTCGCACAGCATCTTACATGCAAATAGGACAATTTGTTCACTTATTCTTGGGAGCAACTTTGGACCATACTTGATTCTTTTGGGAGCTCTTCCGAAGACCTGCACTGAGGCATGTGACACCCCACATCCACGCTGCCATGGAGGCGAACCTACACATATGTCATGTCGGAAAGCCACAAATGCCTCATGTTTATGTAACCTTTGGCAAGATGCCTTGCCTTTTTTGACTTGACTCCTTTTGAACCTTAGCCCACAGGCTTTGGGAGGTGTCTCTGAACGATGCTCTCAATCGGAGCCCGTCCGAAGCGCCGTGAGTGCTGGCTTGAATTCTCTAGCAAATGAGGCAGAGGTGCCTCGGCCAATGCACCTTGTGGAGCTTCTCATGCCCCAAAGAAGAAACTGCCACAATCTCACCTGTTGCCTTTTCTGACTTTGCGTCGCTATAGATTGGTTTCGGCTTGTTTCGTTCCTTGTATGGAGGCAGAAGAGATGCGCCTGGAACGCGAAGTCTCTGCAAGGCTATGATTGAGCTGACGTATGGAACGGTACGGTACGTCTGACAACTGGCGCTTGTCAGGCACCGCGAGCTGCTTGCAGTCGAGAAGGAGCAGAAGGAGCAGGAAGCAGTGCGAAAGGTAGAAAGCAAGCGCTTGGCAGATTTGGAGGCGTGTGAGTCTTGCTTTGATGCCAAAGCTTATAGCTTCAGCTTCAAACATTAATAAGCCAATGCTTGCCAGGTTGAGAGCAGCAGAGGTGCAGTGTCAGGGACCCTCTTGGCACTTTCAGTGTTGGCGGGCGTGGCCCTTCGTGGCTGGCTGCGACATACGCACACTGCCTATTGGGCCGTTGCCTGGGTACCTTACCCCTTGCTGAGCGCACTACCCATGGCTTTGGCAGCTTAGTCCAAGTCCAAGAAGTCTGAGTGTCTAAAACCAAAAAATACCAGTGTCTTTGGATCTTGGAGCTCTGTACCGAGAAGTCAACATCATCCTATCATTGTCTATGAGATTCTTAAAACATACATATGTATATATGCATACAAATAATGAGCACTTGACGCAGAAATGGATCCTATTGCATCAAAAATAACTTAATTTTGTTTGCTTTGCCTAGGCTGCGACTTTGGTATCATTCACCCGATGCTCCCGACTCTGGATGTTGCTCCTCATCGCTGGAAGCCTCGTGGAGGTGACGCAGGCAGCTTGGCCTTCGATTTGTCAAGCAAGCAATTTGAAGCAATTTGCATGTTTTCTAGTGAACCGCTGGACCAACATGTGTTTATTGACTTCACAGGTGCTCCAGGTGTCTTGGTTTCTGCTGATCTTGCTGGCAGTTCTCATAGTGCGGTGCGTGTTGCTTGGATAAAGCTGACAGGAAATGCTTTTGTGTTGGTGGAGAACTTGGGAGTCAACTATGTTGAAGGGGGTGCAAGGACATGAAAAGACATCCAAAGGTACCAATGGTGGCGAATGCTTCAGATGTGGCAAAAGCATCAAAGCTGGAGACATCAGGATGAACGCGATGCTGTACACTTGGCAGCTGAATGGCGTAGAGCAAACCATGCCTACAAAGGTCAGACTGGTCATCCGTGAAAATGCATCTGAAAACTCAAGCGTTTTGTCCTCTTATTCTTCACAAAAGCTTGTAGACTCTGAGTTGTGTTTTTGCAATTGGCAAGAGTGGAAGTAAGTGGACTGAAGTGGACAGGTGCTCAGCGGATGTTGGAAGAGGCAAAGTGCAAAGCAGACAAAGCCAGGCCAGGGCACTCCAGTTCTCGAGATGACTCCAATTTAAAAGACAGCAGCAAGAATATTCTACTGTCTTGAGCTTTCTGGCAGTGAATCATCAAACTCTATATATGCTCACGGCAGAGCTCGGCTGTTTTTGGAGTCTACGATGCCTGTCGGGTTGTTGAATGCACTGGATGCTTTCTGTGGACAGGGCTGAGGTGGAATCTGTGCAGAGGGATGGTGCATCCCTGGCATATGCTGCAAGAGCAGTGACCTTAGAAATGTTCCCGAGATCAAACTGTCTTTCCGCGAAAAACATGTTATATATCATCTGAGGCTGGGATTCATTTCATTGGCAAGCTGATGCGACGTTCCAACGAAAGAGCTTTAGAGCCATGTCTTCAATAGGCAAAGGCTTCAAATGCTTTCTTCTAAATAGCAATGATTGAACGACATCGTACTATTTGTACTTTTGCGCGCCCAAAGCTAAGGAATGAGCTTTGTGGGCTCGGCCTTCCGGCATCTTCCTTTTAGCAAGCTCTTAGTACCACCTACATTTTCAGGTGGTTTGATGAATTGGTGTAGTGCAATCAAGTCAAGTTGCAAGTTGCAAGGCATATCCCATATTCAAAAATGAACATGGAAGTTACCTGGGATCCTTGCCAGCCCTTGCTCCCAAGGAGTCCCGAGGAGGACATGTACATAGATCAAGCAGATCAATCAGAGGATTCAACTCTGGACCGTGTTGAAAAGCAAAGTGCTCGTAGAGGCCAACTGAGCTTTGTGAGTAAGATATTGGGCTAGATCCTTGATGTGAGCTCGCGGAAAAGTGCTTGGCTCACAAGATACCGCTTGAGGTGTTGGCAAGCTTCTGAAGCACTATGACTTGCTTTCTGCTGGGGCCTTCGACACCCAGCTAGAACTCATTGCATGGTTCGCCGGCGTGCAAATGAACGACATGAGTTGTGCATGGTAGAACTGACCCCACGAGGTCAAGGCATACGACGCGAAGACCAACTCTTGCCTTTTCACCTTCTGCATACAGTGCCTTTGTTGCATTGTGTTCTTATCTTTAAGATGTTCGGGCATGTTCAGAACTGCAATTTATCCAGGGATGGGTGGATCCATATTTGTGTGAGCCTGAGAAACATGTTCCTAGCCGACCATATCTTTGCACTACAGTCGCTCAGAGAACTTGCCCGCTCCAGGCTTCCATTTGAAGGATGGGCAGCTGGCTTGGCCACACCCCCAGGATTCTCTTCTACCATGCCCAGCCAGTTGTTGAGCAGAAAGTTTCATGAGGAATTAGCTGTTAGCAACTGAAAATGTAAATGGCTCTCGCAGTTGTGATTAAGGCACATTATCACACGTCCTCTAAACGATCTCGAAAATGTGTTTGATGCTGCACAAATCGCTCTGTTTAACAACAACCACGGAGGATTTCCCCTTAGAAGACAGGCTGTCTAGGAGACTTGCTGCTGAACCCACTTTGCCAAAGTCCCTTCATTTTGTGTCAGAAACTATATGCCAGACGATAACTGCCTGCACGGCAAGTTTAGATGACTTCGTTTTAACCAGGACTTGCTGGGTACTACGCAAGAATGTTCCCCTCCCAAGTCTAGTTATATACACTGCGCTTTAAATACAGACATGTTTTGCATGAATGCACTATCAAATCCATCAATACACATGTCTGGCATGGCTTGACCGCTGACCAAATGCAAATCTTTCACAAGTAAACATTTAGAATAGCAGAAAAGGCCCTCATCCTTCGTTCTAAGGCCCACTGAAGGAGACCGAGCAGCAGCTGTGCTGTCCTTTGGTGCCAGGCCTCAGGGAAAGCACAGCGGTGCTGTGCAGTTCTGGACCAAGACTGGGGCTCTTCCAATCACAACATCAACATCCACAACAAGGTGATCTCGGTATACTAGAGAGCGTTCACACTCTGTAAACCACCACGGTGTTGTAATACCATGCAACGAACGCCACTGGCAACGCTTCAATCACATGCAAAATCCGGTCCAAGGTGACGGCATACTACTGGACGTGGAAATCCAGCTCTCGCTACTTTTAATGGGTTGGTGCCTGAGGTCGTTCAAAATCAACATGACTTCGCATCAAGAATGCTTTCTTCAAGGCTTTAGGTTTGGACCGAAATGCTTCTGAAACCTATTCAAAGAGGCTTCTCCGCACTGCAGAGTGGGAGAAGCTTCCATGATAACATCACCTGTCTCCCGGTATCTCCTACCAAGGCATGAACTTGCCAGCAGTGGCATTGCCCAAGTTGTTTCTTCGGGTGGAGGCGTGCCGCTTTTTCGCTTGTCCGCAGCGTCTTTGTGCGTTGAAAGGTGTCCTAGTTTTCTTGCTGCAAAAATATCTCCTGTTGGACTCAACCCGGCAACTGTTGACATTCTTTTGCAATCCTCAGATCAGTGCTGGCAACATCAAAGTCATTTGCCAAGAAGCTGGAGAGGACTGGGGCGAATATGCACAAGAATCTCGCTTTGGCATTTGCATTCAAGCGTGACGTGTAGACTGGATACAAAACATCACGATCATGTTGCGCACTTCCGCAGGAGTCTTCAGATCTTCATCACCATGCCGAGGATGACTGGAGTGCACAGGCGGGAGGAACATTAAACGCTGCTCACGTCACCTCTGGACCTCTGCACATTCTCGGCAAGCTTTGTTGTCTGGTTCCAGATTGAGGTGATGTCAAGCATCTCCAGTGCAGCGTGGGCAGCTGCTGAAAGCGCGGCGTGGGGAAGCTGAGCTTTGGGCAGGAACCACCAAAGAACATGTTTATTAATTTGCAAGAAACTGTTTTAGCACCAGCCGTTCAAAGCGTATTCCATGTCATCTCAAGTCTCAAGTCAAACTCGAGCAGAGCAGCGCCCAAAGTGCGCCTAGGAACTATGCCTATGACTTTCCGCTCTTAAAACGCCCAAGCCCAAGAGCCGTGTACAAGACAGCAAGGAGTGTCACAGACAGGTCCTCGGTCAGGAAATAGTCAATTTTCTGCCCTTTCTCCGTTTTCTCAGGTCTTCTCAAAGAGAAGTTTGCTCTCAACTTGAGTTTCGAGCCTGGTGCAGGCATTGAGTGCAACGGATTGCAAACGGGAAAGTTGCGCTGGTCCTTCTGTAACCTTCACAGTGTTTCCATGCTGGCGGAATGGACCTGTGCTGGCCAACATGCGTTAGAGGACGCTACTATGAACAAAGGGCATCGCTACTAGGAGCAAGGATGCTACTAGGGGCTCCTGGCCTTACTACTAGGAGCAATGGACGTGATAGGCAGCGTGGCCAAGATGCGAACTGCCATGGATCTTGTGGGTCTCTCGGAGAGCGTCTCGGAGAGCTCTCTCGAGTTCCGCGCACCGGCCAAATGAGTCGCCCAAACCGAGGCGATCCCAAAGAGCGCAGCAGCCGAAGTGGTCACGTCAGAGCCCCGGCCTGGAGACAACTAGTAGCGTCCTTGTTCCGAGTAGCGATGCCCTTTGTTACTAGTAGCGATGCCAGGAGCTACTAGTAGCTCCCTTGTTCCTAGTAGCGATGCCCTTTGATGCTAGTAGCTTCTTGTTCCACCATGCTTGCCGAGTCGACTGACCTAGGCATCACTACCGTCACTCTGGACGGGTAGTGAAAAAACGTGAGCTAGGGAAGCACCAAAAAGAGACAAACTAATTAGGCACCGTGTTCAGCGATCGAAAAGTCCCAGGACAACAAGGAATTGCCCGCGCCAGCAAAGAGAAGGTCGGCAAAATGCCGAAGCTCAAACTCACTTATGCAGGGGCGTGCGCCAAAAATTGCCCCTCGTGGCAGCGCGCAACCACAAGGGTGATGGCCGTCACGCTTGTGGGTGCCAGGGAGCAAGCATTGGCCCTCAATTGCAAAAATTTCGCTGCACCACTTCTTGACCAATCTCACCAAAGATCCAAAGGTGTCCGTGGCCTCGATTGAAGTGAGAGAGAAGTGTCGTGACAAGAAAATGTGAACAAGCTCAACATATGCAATGGGGTGGTCAGGATGGAGTTTCCAACGCAATGACCACAAGAAGCGCCCAAAAGCATCACCATCCTCACTGTTGCAGATGACGTGAAGTTGCCGAGACGCAGGACAGCACTTCCCGAAGGTCCAAGCAAAATGTGCGTCGACTGGGTGCCAATCCCATGTCGGAAATCTGGATTTATGCTCGTCTTGGGTGTCGGACTGTTGAGTTTCCTCAATGGTCTGGAAAACCTTTTTGACGATGCCTTCAGATCCTATGATCTGATTTAAGGACACAAGGGCAGCCTGTCTGCGGTGGGCCGCAGCGAAAACCGATGGCCACAAGTCGACATTGATGACGGCATGGTGAGACGCGACACGTTTAGCCTCCTCATCTGCCAAACGGTTTACACGTACTTTCCACCCAGGGCAACCGTTTGCAAAAAGGTCCGTATGGGCAATGCTCGCAAGTGGTTTGTGATCACATGTATGTGCCGGCATCCATTCAAGCTGTACTGGATGCTCACAGTGGTCAAGTTTCAGCTTCCACACACGCTGGATTTCCAGCCAAAGAGGTCTGTGGCTCCAGTGCCAAGGAATAGTGCTACAAGTGCACATTTTGGCAAACAAGTCCACAATGGTTTGGCAGTCAGTGACAAGGTGGAGCCGTGCAGGAGCAATGATAATAGCAACTGCAAGTGCAAAGAGCTCCGCTGTATAAGCGGCTAGTGCAACATGTTTGACGGGCCCTGACATGATCAAATGTTCGTCTTGATCATAAATTGCAAAAGCGGCTGTCGTCAGCCAGTACGACTCTTGCAGAAGGACTGATCCATCAGAGAACCACATGACTACTGGAGCAAAGGGGTCAAAATTGACCTGGTCCTAGCTCGGCAACGCGGACAACTGAATCCTTTGTGTAGCAACATTTGCTGGGCGCTCAATGATTCCCAAACCGCAAAAATTTTATCCCAATTCATGGCGCTGAAGGCAGGCGAGGAAACTTGGAGCTGCTGGGCATTCATTGACTATGTGCAGCAGCGATTCCTTAGTGGTTTGGCAGTAGCGACAAGCAGCAGAATCAATGAATCCGGCTGCAGCTCGACGATCGTTGGTAATCGTACACCCTACGATTTGTCAAAATGGGCAACCAAAGTTTTATGGGGAGCGCACAAAATTGCCTTCCTAAGGTGTGAAGGAGCCTCTCAAGTCTTTCGGGGGAACATCAAGGATAGAGAATTGGGAATGGCCCATGCCAATACTCAAGTCAGGCAATAAAGTACATCTAAAAACTGCCAGGGCATCACGAAAGTGGGCAATTAGTGAATGTTTACGGTCAATACACGCATGAAACAAAGCTTGCAAGCGTCCAAGCAAAGAGGGATTCCGGTGAATGACACGCCACAGATTCCCAACAGTGACATAAGCTCTCGCAACACGAGGATGTACAAAACAGGGGTTGCGCAAAAAGGTGAAGACAAGCACGCGTGCCCTCCAATGGGGACGCCTCCCCCAAATGGTGTTGGCGATCTCGTTTTCAATTTTCGCACATGTCAGTTTTGGAATAGAGGAGATGTCAGCAGCAAAAGTGCATTGGGGAATGACTTTGGATGAAATCAGCTGGCGCTTAATGTCAAGTGGGATTGGCAGAGCTGCAATATTTTTGGCATCATTGTATATCTTCACAGCTTTGTGGTCAGGAAATTGAAAAGCGCTCCGCTGTGCCGTGTAGATTTTAGCTCCTAGCGCATCGAACTCCAGAACAACAGGCATAGTCGGAAACAAGCGCTCTGCAGTCTTCCTGGCTTTGGAACTTGTGGCCCACAAAGAGCTTTTGTCGGAGTTCAGTTTCTGACAAATGAGCAGGTTCCACTGCTCAGTGACTTGCAAAGCTT